GAAGGCCTGGAACGCCGCGTCACAGAGGCCCGCCAAGGCCCTGCGGCGCCCGAGGCCCACACCGCCGGGAGCAGCGCCATCCCCAGGTCCGCAGACTCTCCTGACCCGCAGGGCGCTCGCCGCGGTTTCTCTCTCCAATCCCTGGAACCCCGGGGTACCGTTATCGGGAAAACCCGATTTTCCTCCCGGAAGATACAGTCACAAGTGGCTTTCTTTAATACCTCGATGAGCTATAAAAAAGTTTCATTTCCCAAAACCATTGAATTCTGGTTGATAAGCGGCCCTCCAGGGGCCTGTGGAAAACTCTGGAATACACTGTTGAAACTGGAAAAAGGTGGAGAGATTAGACTGGGAAAGTTGTCCCAGCTGGGGCCACACGGTCCCAGCTTTTAAAACCTAATCAACTTCAGAAAAGAGAGAGGGGGGGAAAATGCTACGATTTAAAGCGGGTTTTAACAAGCCCTGGCTGGGCAGCTCTTAGTTGGTTATAGCGTTCACCTGATACTCCAAGGCTGCGGGTTAGGTTCCCCGTCAGGGCACATATAAAAATCAACCAATAAATGCATAAATAAGCGGAACAACAAATCACTGTTTTTCTCTCCCCCTCCCCACCCCTAAAATCAATAAATAAAAATTTAAAGTGGGGTTTAACATATGATTTCACTCATAAGTGGAATCTGATGAACAAAATGAACTAACAAGCAAAATTGAGACAGAGTCAGGCTGGCAGCTGTCGGGAGGGGAGCTGGGGTGTGTGTGGAGAGATGGAGCAAAAAAAAAAGAAAAAAAAGAAAGTGGGTTTTTTAATCTTTTATTATTGTTTCTATATACTGGGCAATAGTTGGTTGTGTTTCTTTCATGTGGTTTGTAAGCATAATGTACTCAAAACCAAAACGGTAGAATCTCATATTTATTTATTTATTTATTTATTTATTTATTTATTCATGCATGCATGCAATCTCATCAGGTTGTCTCCCGGGGCAATATGGAAGCTAATTCTTATTCTGAAAAAACCTGGATTTTTAGGCCTAAGGATGTGTCTGCCTCTTTGCAGGAAAAGTGATATTCCTTCAGCCATATGAAACTCAGGCTTAGAAACATTTAAGTGCCTTGCGTGCCAAAAAGTGCATCTTGGTGTGTGATTTCCCACCTCAATTTTGCATACCCTTGAGAGAATTTTAAAATAAATACGCAATTTAGCAGCTGTGGTCTACAGAAGCAGGGAAGGAAATTCCCTGCTATTACTCGTCCCTCCACTAGGGGCTTGGAAGAGTCGCTTTCTCGAGGGCTAGATCCCAGCGTTGGGGTTCGGTGCTGCGCGCCGCGAGAGATCAGGGGCTCTGGGATCCACGAGGGCGCGCCGATCCAGGCCAGCCGAGCCCGGGATCTCCCCGGCACTCTCAGCAACGCGGCGCTGGGAATGGATACATAATAAACACCACTTTCCCTTTGGAGAAGTTGTACCCAAATGGAGGGCAACTGGCGGGTACAGGGGAGGAGGGGGGCGCTGTTTTAAAAGTGCACGCAAATTCCAATTTTTGAAATAGTGGCAACTGTGTAAGTGGACATATGGTCTATTTTCTCTTTTCCGGTTTTATTGTCTTCTTTCTGTTAAAGGTTACATTAATCTTGTTTAGTTAACTTTAAGAACAAGTGAACTGCAACCTACAACATCTATATCTAGGACTCTGTGAGCCCTCCTTGCCATCTGAGTTTCCGTAGTGTAGTGGTTATCACGTTCGCCTAACACGCGAAAGGTCCCCGGTTCGAAACCGGGCGGAAACAACTTTTCGCTGATTATTTCTCTGGCTCTTTGATTAATTCCCGGGCTCTTTTAAAGACAATGTCTTGTGTGTAACCTTGGGAAATTAAACTTTCACTTTGCGTTATTCTATTTGCCAAGTGTTTTTGTTGATGGCATGCCACGTGCAATAAGAGGCCCAAACTTTAAAATTTTTTTTAGTTCAACTCACAACCTGATACTGGACAAATATGTACTGTACAGCCTAGAAGGGGAGATAATTGTGAAAACTCTTAGACCTTTTGCCTCTTCGTATTATTAGTCATTTGGTTTTCCATTAGTTTTCTCCTTAAGACTAGATTTTTCTAAACGCCAGAGATCACGCTTTATTCTTATTCTATATACTTAGTGTCATACCTGGCATCAAGGAGAGACTCATAAGTATTTCTGAATTAATAAATCAAAAAGGGCTCTGACAGAAAAAAAGTGAAATCGGAAAGAAAAGTATACTCATAAAGATCCAGGACAAGGGTCTCAAGATCTGGGTCATTCTTACTAAATGTTATTCTTGCTAAATGTTAAAATGTAGCACAGTATTTTACATACCAGCTGTAAACAGGATGAGCTTCACTGCAAAGAAGAAATCAGCGCGTACAGGACCACACAGTGTATATAAGCAACAGCTAAGCCTCCCTTCTGAGAGAAAGACCTTTGGAGAGGAATCCCCTGTCTTTACTTGCTGCGAGTAAATAAAGCTACCTTAAAACAATCACCTCTCATTTTTTAATACAGCACCCCAAGCAGCGAGCCTCTTGAGTTCAGTAACAAAATCAAGAAAGAACCAGCCTAAATTTTTTCCCTTATAACGGTTGTGGTTTTACGCTCAAATATGATTCTTACTGAGAACTAAGTTACAAAAACAGCAAACAGAATCTGTTTGGAAAAATCTTAGGAGAGGAGAAACGAAGAAATTCAGTTGAGTCTATCCTTTAAAGTTTTGAGTACATTTCCTATGGTCCTGATACAACTTTTAACAGTAAAATATGTTGAAGTTTTGGTTTTCTGAGATTTATGACGTCTGCGGATACTAGGACAGAATCCACCCTAACATAACATGACCTATCTTTCTGTTTCTGCGCTTTTTGTATATTATGCAAACTGGCATCCCTTTCCTGCACCATACAAAATCTGAACTTGGCGTAAATAATTGTATTAAAATATTTTTAGCCTACACTCAGAACCTTTTCCGGTATAACGCCCACCTTCCTCCAATGTTGCGCATGCCCAGTGTGCCCCATGGCTTCGCTCCGCGTTCACGCACCACACTTCTGTCTCCAGGTAAGGGTGTCCTGGAAACTGGGCTACAGTTGGCTGATGCAAACAAAACCCAGGAGGTCCCAAGAGCTTTCGGGTATGTAAACTGGAAAGGGGTGATCAGTATCAGCTCAAAAATTCCCCACGGCCCAGAGCCCAGCACACACAGCAGTGGTTCCCGAGGAAGGGAAGGATGATGGGAGAAGACCAGCAACTACAAGCCCCAGCATGCAGTGCGCAGTCTGGCTCCTGGAAAGAGGCCCGCGGTGCAGCTCTGCCCGGCCTCGGCCCAAATGTGGGCCGAGCGGGAGACGCCGACTGTCGGCCGACCAGATGCTAAGAATGAAGAAGACAGGCGGGGCGCTGTGAGCGACCCCTGAGGTCTCCTATCTTTGACGCTCGCTATTTGGGGAACAGGGGGCTAGCATGTAAGGGGTGTGTGTGTGTAACGGGTCTTTGCGGGCCAGCCAGTTCAGCCCAGACCGGCATCGGACCTCCGCGGTCCTAGAGCCTCCCGCGTTGCCAAGGAACTCTGGAGCCGGATGTGACGTTGCGGCGGAGGAAGAAGGGAGAGGCGGAGCGTGGCGTGGTGACGTCCTCCCAAGATGGCGGAGAGAGAGTGAAGAAACAGTGTCCCCGGTTGGGTTGCTATAGGTGAGTTCTGTCTTCACTCCCAGCCTACTACCCCCGCTCTTTCCAGACCCTGGGTCGCTGAGGGGCAGGCACCTTGGAGGTCGAGCTCAAGTCGGGACGCAGTTGTTGACGTGGAAAGCCTGGTCGAGGCAGCCCGGTGTTGGCCTTGGCTACCTCTGCTGTGGGAATTTGGAGGAGTGGGAGCTGGGCGAAGGGCAGGGCGGCCAAAGCCGGGAGAGCCGGGCTTTGGTCATTACTCTCGATGCCACCAGGAGTGGAGAAGGGGTAAGTGAGGAGGGGGCCTCTTCCCGGGGAGGGACGGAAGCTTTGACAGCTCTGGGCCCCGCTCATTCTCCACCCCCCGGGCACGCGCCTCGCCTTTTGGAGCACTGTGTGCACCGCGGAAGCTAACAGGTTTCCGGGATTTGAGAGCAGTTTTAAAGAACTCGTACAGTGTCTTTTCCTCCTCTGTCCCAAGGAATCATTTCTTAATGGTTAACTTTTTTCGTAACATATGTATTTCTACTGAGCTTAAAAGTCTGAAGGTTCAGCTAATGCAAAAGCGAGAAATTTTGTGGTGCTTTTTTTTCCAGCTTGTGGAAGTGTTTTCGTTCATTGTCATTTATTAATGTGTCCAAAGGATTGTGTTAGTTGGCCAAGATGAAACAAAGCTAGAAAGGGCTTATCCCTTCAGCGTTTTTCACCATATCTGTTTGATAAGAATTTTCTGGTGGGGGGATAAAATGAGAACTAACTTTATTCCTGTTCATGTTATGTCCTATGTCACTTCTCCCCTTATCAATTGCTTGGGTGAAACGTTTGATGAAAACTTAGGATTACTGATTTACTGTTTCTTTTTGTTTTTTAGAACAAGGGTAAATTCCATTCTGATATCAAAATGCAGTATTCACATCACTGTGAGCACCTTTTAGAGAGACTGAACAAACAACGGGAAGCAGGTTTTCTTTGTGACTGCACCATAGTGATTGGGGAATTCCAGTTTAAAGCTCATAGGAATGTGCTTGCTTCATTTAGTGAGTATTTTGGTGCCATCTACAGAAGCACTTCTGAGAACAATGTCTTTCTTGATCAGAGTCAGGTGAAGGCAGATGGATTTAAGAAACTGTTGGAGTTTATATACACAGGAACTTTAAACCTTGACAGGTAAAGTACACATTTTATTTCACTTCTAAAAGCTAATCAATAGTCTTAAGAGCAAAAGTAGATTTGTATTTTTTACATTCAGTCCCTGAACTCAGAGTCTTCAAATATTATATGCACAGTGTTATTGTTTTCTGTTTGTTTTTTTAAAGAAGTAAGTATCCCATAGTTTGATGAACAGACTACTTTTTTTAAGCACAAAAAGCACAGATGTTAATGTGATTAAAGTCTTGTTTCTTACACATTTGATTTACCTACTGAAACAAAGCCTGTGATTTCAGTTATGTAAACTTAAAGATAAAACACAATGAATTTTAAGTGAGGTCTGGTTGCTTTTTGGTTTTTATGTTCCTCTGGTCTTCTCTCTCCCTCGCTTTCTATCTGCTACCTCTTAGGTTGTTTGGGGTGAAGGAGTGTAGATGGAGAAAGAAGGAAGAACTTGTGTTCATTTGATAGTGCTCCCATTTCCAAGTATAAATAGCAGTGTGCGGTGTCTCTTCCTAATCTTGAGTCAGGAAAATAACTTCATTGGAGTATAAATGGCAATGACTCCTGCTATCTCTGTAAAGTTATCAACACTAATGCTTAAGTTGGGTCCAAGGTGCTCAAATGGTTCTGATATGCTGAATACTGTCACTGCACTAACAAGAAGTTGGTACTTTGATAAGAAGGCACTGTGTGTCTCTCATATATAATGATCTATATAATTAGCTTAATACCAATGCATTTATTAGTTCATAGCAGAAAAGGTGGAGTGGATTAAAGGAAGGAGAATACAAATTACCCTTGTCTTTCCTCCATCTCTTATGAAAGTATGAACATAAATAGATGATAATCTTCTAACATAGAAAGATTATTGCCTTTAGGATTAGATCTTGCCTGTCAGTAACTATGTCTCTGAGCAAGATGCAACCTCTCTGGGCCTCAGTTTTTCCATCTGTAAAAATGAGATGGTAATAACTACCTTGGTGTTACTGTGAAGATTAAGGATTTACTTGAAGGCCCACCTCCCAATGAACATTAATTTCCCTGGTTTTCTCTCCTCTACCTTCTTTCCATTTAATTCCACATTTCTTGGAGAAAAATTAGGAAAAAAACCATGAAACATCTGAAGTTCTGCCACCCACTGATAACCACTTTTAATATGTCGAAAAATATTTTTTCGTGCTTTTCCAGATGATCTTTATAGATATATACACATTAACATTAAGCAAAGTTGCAGCTTATCATGGAAATACACTTCTTTTAAAAAAGCTAGAATTATGATGTTCATTAATACTTTTGAAAAAGAAACATTCATGCTATTTTGGGATTGTTTTTAAAATGTTGGTGTAATGGAATCTTTGAGTCAGTTCTGTATAAGTTGAATAAAGGAACAGAGCAGTGTCATAGGTTAATCTCATGATAAATTATTTAAATGTACTGAGTAGTTAACTACAGAAGTGCCTCTTATTAAAAATTCAGAATATTTAATATACAATAACCACAAAAACAGTGCATTTTGGTTGCTCTTCAATTTAGTGTTTTCCCTTTCTCAATTAACTTAGTGGGGAAAATCTTGAGTTAATCTGAACACACTGAAGAGCATCTGACTTTGCACTTTCATGCAAAGAACCAATATAAAGAAAAGCCAGATGTTTTGCTCAGTCTTTTTTGGTACATATCTTTCCTGAGGAGTTAGTTGTTTGAGCCCAGCAGCAAATGTGAGAGAAGACTTTACCAAAAATGGGAAGTCTGTGTAATTTTTTTTTTTTAAATATGTCTTTATTGATTTCAGAGAGAGGAAGGGAGAGAGTGCGAGCTGGAAACATCAGTGATGAGAGAGTCATCAATCGGCTGCCTCCTGCCTGTCCTCTGCTGGGGTTCAAGCACACAGCCAGGCATGTGCCCTTCCCAGGAATCGAACCATAATCTCCTGGTTCATGGGTTGAAGCTCAACCACTTAGCCATGCCAGCTGGGCTGATATTTCTTAATATCCCTCTTTGTACCACACATGGTGGATGCTCGGTAAATATTGACTGGAATTTGAACAAGGTGACTTATTTGTTAAGTTTTTCTATATAATTCTAATAGGATAAACTTGCTAGCTAACTTGGGGTGATGTCACACACACACACACACACACACACACACACACACACACACACAGTAGAAGGGTTACAAGAGGGGCACATTCTAAAACCTGTTTCTCCAAGTGTGCATGATGGACCAGCAGCACTGGCATCACCAGGGAGTGTGTGAGAATTGCACACACTCAGGCTCCACCACAGACTTACTGAATCTGAATCTGCATTAACATGATCCCTTGGTGATTCACTTGCATAGGAAAATTTGAAAAGCACTGTTAAAGTCCTTCACAGGAGGAGGAGAACAGAGGAAGATAATAGGAAACAATTTTTTTTAGACTCTTCCTATTGTCAATCCAGAAAAGTTGGTTGCTATCTGAGGAGGCCTCAGGATGTATGGGAGGCAGTAAGTTGCCAACAGCTACTTTTATGTTCCAGGTATTTTTTTAAAACAGGTAGAAATTTTGCCCTGGCTGGTGTGGCTCAGTTGGTTGAGCGCATCGTTTTGTGCACCAAGGGATTGCTATTTGATTCCCAGGTTGTGGGCTCAATCCCCATTACAGGGTGTGCAGGAGGCAGCCAATCGATGTTTCTCTCTCCCTCTCTCTCTCTCTAAAATCAATTAAAAATTTTTTAAACAGGTAGAAATTTTAACATTTTATTTTTCTGTAGTGGTACATAGATAGTTAAGAATAACCAAAATTTTTCATCTTTTCCAGTTCTGTACGGCTGGAGATTTTTGCCTAAATATTACTGTGAGTGAGCGAATGCATTTTGTAGATTTGTTCTTTTAATTATGTCTTTCTCATCATTCTATTTCATTAGGTCTTTAAAAGACATTGAAATATATGTGCAGCTTTGTTTCAAAAAGTTTTTCTTTGATCAGAATGTTGTCATTTAGCCTTGTTTCCTTACAGTTGGAATGTTAAAGAAATTCATCAGGCTGCTGACTATCTCAAAGTGGAAGAGGTGGTCACTAAATGTAAAATAAAGATGGAAGATTTTGCTTTTATTGCTAATCCCTCTTCTACAGAGATATCTAGTATTACTGGAAACATTGAATTGAATCAACAGACTTGTCTTCTTACTTTACGAGATTATAACAGTCGGGATAAATCAGAAGTGTCTGCAAATTTAGTTCAGGCAAATCCTAAACAAGGGGCTTTAGCAAAGAAGCCGTCTCAAACTAAAAAGAAGAAGAAGGCCTTCAACTCCCAGAAAACAGGGCCGAATAAAACAGTGCAATATCCCAGCGACATTTTAGAGAATGCATCTGTGGAATTATTCCTAGATGCAAATAAATTGTCCACACCTGTAATAGAACAGGTTGCACAGAGAAATGATCATTCAGAACTCGAGCTGACATCAGTCGTGGAAAATACTTTTCCAGCACAAGATATTGTGCAGACTGTTACAGTGAAACGGAAACGTGGAAAATCACAGCCAAATTGTGCTCTGAAAGAACACTCTATGTCTAATATAGCCAGTGTCAAGAACTCTTATGAGCTGGAGAGCTCTGGGGAAGAGCTGGATCAGAGGTATTCCAAGGCCAAGCCAATGTGTAACACATGTGGGAAAGTGTTTTCAGAAGCCAGCAGCTTAAGAAGGCACATGAGAATACATAAAGGAGTCAAACCTTATGTTTGCCACTTGTGTGGAAAGGCATTTACCCAGTGTAATCAGCTGAAAACCCATGTAAGAACTCATACAGGTAAGACTGATTTGTGGGAGATAAAATTATTTGTATACTGTGACTGAAGTAATACTTTTCTAAAGAATGTATTAATATACAATGTTTACTGTTTCTGAGCAAAATTTGATATATACTTCATAAAAGTATTTAGGATGTTAAACTGTTGAAAATTTCTTTGTAATTGTGAGCAAGTGATTAATGGCTATTTGTCTTATTGTAATTGATACTCTGTAGTCCTAATAGTTGAGCTCTTTATACCATTTTCCCTCATAGTTAAAAAAAGCATAAATTTGGGTCTAGCTTACTAAGTGTTTAACACAAAGATACTAAAACTGATAAAGAGAAAAAAGTAATTACAACTCAAGCCAATTCTCAGATTTTGCCAAAACATCTCACCACCTGCTTCCTAGACTTTTGTCAACTTCTGAACATTTATTAGCATTACACAATATTCTTTCCTCAGGTTCAATGTTTACCTTTAATGGTACACTTAAATTTGTACTTTTTAAGATGCAATATATAGTTCTCTTATTGACCACCTTTCACTATTATGAATTAGGAAACACTAATTTCTTTTAACTCTGTTTTCAATGAATCTGGAAGAAGAGATCCTATTTTCTCTTTTATGTCTAGCAATTAACATTTTCTTAATACCGAAACTAGTACTGTTGATGGACTCTTGAAAGCTTATATGACTTAAGCAGCTGCAACAAAATATTTCTTTCTAAATATTTATTTTATTTATTTCTTTTAGGTGAGAAGCCATACAAATGTGAATTGTGTGATAAAGGATTTGCTCAGAAATGTCAGCTAGTCTTCCATAGTCGAATGCATCATGGTGAGGAAAAACCCTATAAATGTGATGTATGCAATTTACAGTTTGCAACTTCTAGCAATCTCAAGATTCATGCAAGGTAAAAAAAACCAAAAAAAGTTATTTGATCTTTGAGTCTGTCATTCACCATAGTCTTATTAATTGACTACTATATTAGAATTCAGGACAGTTGAGTTCTAATTGTGGTTCCCCCATATAATATTCTTAACACAATTAAGGAACCACAATGAAACTGTGGTGGCTGGAGGAAAATAAGTGAGGGAGGGAAATAGGATCAGAATGGTAATAGGTGTCCAGGTGGTATATGGTTTTATAGGCCTTTATAAAACTTTTATTCTTAAGATTGAGAAATAAGTGATGTGATGTTTCTTGCCTTTTAAGAGGATCACTCTGGCCGCTATGAAAAGATTATAGGATTGCAAGAGTAGAAGCAAATTTACCAGTTAGGAAGCTCTAGGTAAAACCCAAGTGAGAGTGATGTTGGTTCAGCTAGAGTGGTGTCAGTGGAAAAGTAGCATTGACATTCTGGATATATTTATAAATGTAAAACAAACAGAATTTGCTGCAGATTGGACGTGGGGTATGAAAGGAAGGAAGGAAAGTTGAGAGTAGGGGAGGGAGGAAGGAAAGAAGGAAGATCAAAGATGATTTTGACATTTTGAACCTGACACCTGAAAAGATGGAATTACCATTAGATGAAATAGAGAAAATTTGTGGATAGAGCATTTTAAGCAGGAGTAAAGGAGTTGCTGGAGTGGAGCTCTGAACATGTTAAATTTTAGATGACTATTAGATATCTGAATGAAGATATACATACAATACACAACTTGTTATCTAAGTCTGGAATTCAGGGGACTGGTTTGATCTGAAGATACAAATTTGGGAGTCATCACCATGTAACTAGTAGTTAAAACCATAATACTGGGTGAGGTCTCTAAGAGAATGAATGTGGATAGGAAAGGGATCAAAGGACTGAAGTCATGAGACACTCTTAGTCTGGGAGATGGACATGAACCAGCAAAGGTGACTGGGAAGGAGCAGTCAACAGGAGAAAAACCGGAAGAGTGGGCTGTCCCAGAATCCAAGTGAAGAAATGATTCCAGAAGAGAGTGTTCAGCTTTTGTCAAATTCTGATAGGGAGATGAAGACAGAATTGACTTGGATTTAGCAAAGTGAGAGGTCAGCAGTGCTTCTGTCAGAAGCACTATTAGTAGCGGCTAGTAAAGAGATTAGTATGGAGGAAAGGAAAAGTAGAACATTTGGAGACATTCTTGGTAAGTGGGAGCAGAGAAGAGGAGCAGCAAGCGAGGTCAAGGGTCTTTTCTAAGATGGGCAACCTCAGTATATGCGCAGGCTGCAGTGCAGGGGTGGGGAGAGGAGGTGGAGGAGAGCGCAGGAGTGATGCCACTGAGCCGCAAGGCGGGTATTGGCTTCAGTATACAAATGGGAGTATCTGGGTTTGGATGGGATGACCTGTCACCCTCAGCATTAACAAGAAGGGAAGCAAACTATATAGGCATAGATGCCTATAGGTGCAGAGTTGTGATGGTGGATATTTTCATTGTTTAAAATTTTCTCAGCGAAATAGGAAGCAAAGAAATCAGCTAAGAGTGAGGATGCTGAAGGTTTGAGGAAAGAGTTTTGAAGAGTGAGTGAATGGACAAGTAAAAATAATTGCCAAACCATTGAAACTATTGGTTTTAAATACATATAATTGATCTGTTAAGATGAAATAAAATACTGTATGAAAAGTGCTTGCTATGTAAATTGACCTCCAAATTGTTTTACTTATTTTAGCATATTACTTTATATTTATTTATTAATAGGAAGCATAGTGGAGAGAAGCCATATGTCTGTGATAGATGTGGACAGAGATTTGCCCAAGCCAGCACACTGACCTATCATGTTCGTAGGCATACTGGAGAAAAGCCTTACGTGTGTGATACTTGTGGGAAAGCATTTGCTGTCTCTAGTTCTCTTATCACTCATTCTCGAAAACATACAGGTAAGAATTTGATGTGGACAGCTTAAAGTAAGGAAAGTTGTAAATAAAAGGGGAAGCTGAGCCTTTACAGAAAATAGATTATAGACTTTGTAGTTACATATCTGTTGTGTTTGTGCTTTTTGAAGCTTTTTATGTTTATGATTTCTAGATAAATGTTAGACATAAAAACACTTAATTTTCTAGAATAATACACGGTAGGTAAAATTTTTATCATGTAACATACCCATTAAAATCGGATGATTTTGACAATATGTAAACTTGAGACATATTTTATGACCTTAGAAAAACTCCTTAGTCTCTTGATGTTTCATTTCCCTTGTAGAGTGAAATTAAGGGGTAGGGGTGAGTTTGGGTAGAATGTTGATTTTATAACTTCTTAGGCCTTTTCTTACATAGACATTCTAATATATGTAAATTAAACAGATACTTTAAATGCAAAGTATCAGTTTTGAAAGAAATTTTATTGTTCAAAGGTTTTCATTTTTTATTGGGTACATTTTTAATAGATTTTTTCCTAAATTTTATTCCTTTTTAATAATATAGTAGATAGCAAGAATTGAAATATGGATTGATGAATTTACATGTTTTTAATTATATAAAAATCTAATTTCTTTCCCAGCTCTAGTCTACTGGAAGGACAGTTGCAGAAATAAAGTTTTATTATATGAAAAGCAACAGGTTACATGAACGGTATAATATAATTACTAATACTCATTTCAGTTGGATCACACTGAAAATACCTCTATAATACAATATAAAGAGGTTTTAATTTAAATAATATTTTAGAACAGCTTATTTAGATTATTGTAATTGATAAATATTATATTGGTATAGTACACCACTTCACTTTTATTTTCCATCTAGGTGAAAAACCATACATATGTGGTATTTGTGGGAAAAGTTTTATTTCCTCAGGAGAGCTCAACAAACACTTTCGATCCCATACAGGTCTGTGTTTAGGGAGAACGTATTATTTTTTGTTCTCTCTAATATCTTTTTATGTAAACCTTTGACTTTTAAACCATTATGGACTATGTGGTATCTACTTATACTTTACAGTAATATTTTAATGCATAAATATCACCTTTTTATATGCTTATTTAATTTTTTTGGTTGTTTGGAGTATGAATTAAATTTGGTTAAGAATTGTGTAGAGTTACTAAGACGTGTGCCAGATAATCAATAGTTTTTTAAATGATTTGGATTTAATTGCGGAGATATACAAAGAAATGAAAAGGAATTAGTAATAAAATATTAGATTTTATTATTAAACTTCAGTATGCAAGTTTCAGGAATAAATTTTAGTATTGGCATGTTTATTGTAAAAGTTATATGTAAGTAATATGAAGGAAAAATTGAATGTAAAAACAAAGGAAAAGGCCACTTCAGAAATGTGCTGTTCTAACATTTTCTTTTTAAAAATTATCCTTCATAATTCTTGTCTAGAATTGTGTGAGCACCTGGGAAACATAATAAATTTATTGGCAACTTAAGACATCGAACAGTTCTTATTTCAAAAGAATTACAATTTTGTAGCATTTTATTTTGTCAGGTTTTGTTTAAGGGTTTTCTAATTTGTAAGCTACCTAAGAGCAGAAACCATAATTATGCTTTTCTCCCCACTATGTCTCTTAGCCAGGTTCTGGCCTATAATTGCATTCACTAAATGTCTGATAGACATAAAAGAGAGAGTTTGTGGGGGTTTTTTAGTTTAAAATTTCTGTTAATGAAAATGCTCAATGTTCCCTAAAATGGGGGTGCTTTACATAAGGTAAAGGAGTGCCTATGTATATAGAAGTTTTTATTTTACTATATTAGAACCAAGTGATTAAAATGCTAATTTGAAACTAAATTTAAACAGTGTAATAATGTTTGCCTTGTGTTCATAAACATTGATATTTTTGTCTTAGCTTCTAAAATATTGAGGTTTTAAACTTTTAACTTATTTTTCAGGAGAAAGACCGTTTATCTGCGAATTATGTGGAAATTCTTACACGGATATTAAAAATTTAAAGAAGCACAAAACAAAAGTTCATTCTGGTAAATGCTTTATGTTTTTTAAAAATTTGGTGCTCTCATATTGGTACTACCTCTTAAAATGTTGAGATGCACATTATAACAGTTTGGATTTTTTTTTTTAACTAGATACATATTTGGAAGGTAGCTTTATAATTTGCACATAAGTTCACTCTGAATTTCTTTCATACTGACCTTCTAATAAATATTGAAATATTTTCTCCTTTAAAAGTCTGTTTTATGAACAGTTTCAAAAATGAAGGACTATAGAAGCAAACTTGTGTATCACTATTTCCTGTTCTAGCATCTGCGTTGCCTAGTTTAGTGTAGTTATATGAAGAGAGGGCTATCATGAACACTAATCCAGATATATATAAAAGGAAGTGGGAAGTCCCAAACTGTTATAATATATAAAAATAGAAAGTCAGAATACAAAATTTTAAGTCCATTGCTTAAAATGAATCCTTGAAAAAGTTTCACTGTGCTTACCATTTTCTTCTGTCATGATTAGAAACAAAACAAACCACCAGGCTTCTTCAGTGTGTAAAAATGATAGTGAGTCTTTGATAGTAAAGACATAAGGATTTAGTTAGTAACATCTGAAGACTACATTGAGTCATTAATTCAACAAAAAGTTATTAAAAACCTCTAAAGTACACATAACTGCAGGGTATATGAAGTTGAACAAGGAGATCTTCAGAGAACTTATAATCTGAGGCGGGAGACCAGAAATCTAAGTAATATGATTACAAGACAAAATGTAGGCTATACTAGACACACAGAAGTGCTAAAGAAGAGAGTAAGTACTTCTGAGGCATCGCAAAAGCTTAATCCTGGGGAACTTGAAGGACGGAGAAGAGTTCAGAGGATGGAAATAGAAAGGAAGGGTTCATTCCAGGCAATATTGCGAAGAGAGTCACTGGGACAGGAAAGTGTAGGCTGTATTCTTGGCTGGTTGAACTGAAGAGTATTCTGCAAGAACTGAGGTATAATTTTATAAAAGCAAATACACAGTTTTATCTAATGAAGATAGTGAGATTGAAATCATGTCAATACTTTGGATTGTCAGCCGCATGGTAAAGCTGGAGGAAAATTTGAAATGTGTCACAAGACAATATATGAAACATTGACAAATGAGTGATAAAATAGATACGAAAGAACTCACCCCGGACTAGAATAATAAGTCCATTTTTGTCGTGGAGTCGGTGTGCGAACCTAGTCTTGAAGCCCATATCGGGCTTGTATAGATAATGAGCGCAGTTCAGCAAAAGAGAAATAGCTTCAGTAAAGGTGTGGTGGTTGGAATGCAAGTTCTGGGAATGGTAAGGGTTTTTGTTTTTAAAAATAGTATAATTTTTTTCCCCTTCCATTTCAGGGACAGATAAAATTCTAGATTCTAGTATAGAGGATCATCCCTTAAGTGAACAAGATTCCATACAAAAAAGCCCTTTGTCAGAAACTTTGGATGTGAAGCCTTCTGATATGACTTTGCCACTAGCCCTTCCACTTGGGACTGAGGACCACCACATGCTTCTGCCTGTCACAGATAATCAGTCTCCCACATCAGATACATTGTTGAGGTCAACTGTGAATGGGTATTCAGAACCACAATTGATTTTTTTACAACAATTATACTGACTTTGTGAGAGGAATATGGAATCGCTAAGACATCTCTGGTAGTTAACAAGCACCTCTAGTAAGGTGCATATATATTCATCGTAAATTACCATTCATTTGAGTTGTGGCCGTTTTTCCTTCACTGAAGTAAAGGCACCTGATGCTGCGCCATACCTGCAATGCCTTTTTGAGTTTTGGCTTTTATGTCTAGATTATACATGCAGCTTTTTAAGAAATTAATTGTACTACAGTAGCACTATTTGGGGTGGTTAAGTTTCATTTTCTTTTAGAGCTGCCTAAGTTCCATTTTTATTTTGCGTTTTAGAATTGTCTTTCATTTATTGAAGTGGAATCTGTCAGTTTATATGATTCAGTTTTGACCTGTGGCATTTAAATTTTTCTTCCCTCAACATTTAAGCAAAATCAATGATGGTGTCAGCCCAAGAGTGTTGCTGTTACTAAGCTCCATAGGCCAATACATAAACTATGAGGGAAAAAATAAAATTTCATTATTTCTGCCTAAGGAAATTTAGGTACTGCATAAGAATTATGCTATTTCTCTATTAATATATTCCATTGGAGGTAACTTTTCTAATGAAACAAAAAGAAAAGCTGAAAAAATTGTACATAAATTTTTGTTCATTTTAGAACTCAGTCTTCTGGAGAAAACCAGTGGTCAGTATTTTTTATTTGAGTTACCTGAGACTACATTATCAAAATAAATTTAAATAGCTATTTGGTATTTTTACCTTGTTACAGGACAGGTTCAAAATTTGATTCAGGTTATGTTTTAATAGGTTTCTAGATTACTGAAGATGAGGAAAATATACTGAGTTTTTAAAAATGTTAATAAGCCTCTTTTATACCTGTTATGCACTTTTTAAAATATTAAATTCTAAAAAGAATTTTCTAAATATAAACTTAATGCATACTATAAATTCTTGGCTTCTGATTGATACATTATATTACATAGATTTAAGAAATTAACTTCAATTTAAGTAAACATTTGAGTTACCAGAAAGCCAGTTTATTAAACATTTTATATTTGAGTGCTCTATAAGTTTTGAGTTTTAAAATTTTATAACAAACCACAACATTTGGTGGTTGTTTGTAACTTCACAGTAGCCCTTTTCCTAACTAATGAACGTAGAAAATTCAGTATTCTGATATTTGCTACCACTCTTCCCCGTCCTACTTTTCCCACATACTGATTTATTTTACTGCCTGATCTTTGGACATTAAATTATCAGTTTCACAGTCAATTCCTATACTGCTGATCAAACACCATGGTGACATTATATTTTATTTCTGCCATGCATTAGTTGTGGCTTGTTTTTGGTTTTAAACTACACCTTTAATAAAGTTAATGTATTTTCTATTGGTATTGATTTCTTTAATTGTATTTTCTCTGGGGTCCTGGTTATAGGAACCAACTAGAGGACATAATAAAACTACTTCATTCTTGTGAACTGTAGAAATTGTCACCTTTTCACAGCACACTCAGCATTTTTATAATAAATTGCCACCAGTGGGATTGACTTAATTGAACAGTTTGAAATACTGCCTTATATTTCCATCAAACAGTATTTAATTATTTATCTTAGAAATCTCGTTATGCATGTGTATTAACTTATTGTACTGGGCTTAAATCCAATTGATAGAGTTATAAAATGTTCAACTAGTCTATTCTGGCTTAAATTCAATAGGGATTTATTGAAATGTGAAGATTTTAAAGAAAATTAAAAGATTCAGCCTCTTTAAGAAGTCTGCTGAAATGGAGAGGTTGTTTAATTCACATCTTCATTAATCCAAGCATCTAATGAACAAAATTTCTTTTTAAAAACACTACAGTGATGTCATAATTCTATGAGGGCATTAGTTACCAAATTTCCTTTAATATGGTAATTAGTATTTTTGCCTTTGCATAGATTAGCCTTCAAATTTTTTATTTTTAGTATTATTGGATTGGAGTGGTTATAGTTGATTTACTGTGCTTTTTTTTTTTTTTTTTTTAATCACACCTGCTTCTTAAATAAATTTATTTTAAATTGGGATGGCTTGATGCTTTTCTAGAATGACAGGTAAAGAAAGATTGAAGACAATATCCTGTCTTGTCGTTCTTCTCATAATGCCATCCTGTTCTTTATCATAACATATATATTTTTTAGTTGTATCTGCTATCATTCTAACACTCAATTATCATTTTAGTTGCACTCAATTTTAAATATAATGCAGTGTCTGAGAAAGGTCTGTTCTTATTTAAGTATTACTAAGTTTTTTTTAAAGTGTTTAGGATGCTGAAGATCTTACTAGAAAAATTATTTTCTGAATTTTGTTTTATATTTGTATTAGATTTTTCCTACTGTATTGTTAGAGATTAGACTTTTTAAGAGAAACCATAGGTTATATATCAATGATTTTTTGCTGTTTTAAATGGCACATGTCTTATGTTTAATTTCATAGGAGGATTTTGTTAGAGAACTTTTAAAAATTGTTTTTTTTCTAAAAAGTTTATCAGTTATATTGCTACAATAGTTTATAATTTTTCTGTATGTATTCTACAGAAATTGTGCAAATGAGTAGTTGAAACATACTCATATAAAGACAATATATGTGTACTTGTGTTTTAAATATCCAAGAAAAATATTCTAACATTTGATACGTATCAGAAACATTTATAGAATAATGCTATCCAAGCCCCACCCCACCTAGGCCTACTGAATCAGACAGTCTTCGGGACATAATATGTGCTGGCAAAGCCTCACAGTTTATTTTAATGTATGCTGCACATTGAGAACTATTATCCTAAATATTTCTTTATGTTCATTTGGGAGGCATTTATAAATGAAGCTCTTGATACAACTTTCTATCTTTTACTCAGAGATTTTGAGTTGGTAGACCTTAGCTAGAAATACCACCAAGTAAAAAGAAATTGTATTTTGTTGCATTGTCTATAAATTCTACATTTTTACTCATTATTTATGAACAATATTAAGGTTTTAAAAATATATCTATTGATTTCAGAGAGGAAGGGAGAGAGAGAGAGAAACATCAATGACGAGATGAGAGAGTCATTGATCAGCTGCCTCCTGCACACTTCTCATGCCCCAACCAGGGATCAAGCCCACAACCTGGGCATGTACCCCTGACCAGGAATTGAACTGCTATCTCCTGGATCCTAGGTCAATGCTCAGTGGCTAAGCCACACCCGGCTGGGCGGGGCATTAATTTCTTGAGACAGTAATATGGTTTACTCTTCTGTCTTCTGCAACCCCTGCCCCCTTTCATTCAGAGAAATTTGGTTGATTTGTTAAGGGAATTAAATAATTATATAACTAGTAACCATTCAGAAATAGGGTATTCAGTTTCAAGAAGAATAGATTAAATTACACACTGATGTGAACAGATATTTGGATTAAAATAATCTGGCTAGAAATGCTGGAAAATTAATGAAATTACCAGCAGGGAGAGGTTCTTGTCCCCACATGTTGCTCTTGGGAGTGGAATTCTCAAGATATCCCGAGAAAAGGAATTTTCTGAGACTCGCACAGGCAGATGAAATACTGTAGAAAGCTTTATTTTCGTGGAATTACACCCCTGAGTTTCCAAGGTCCCATTTCCCTTTGTCCCACCAAGTAAGAAGTGTAGCTGTGGCTTCAATAGGGCTAAAATAAAAGCTTGTGTCCAGAGTCTCCATTCCATATTAAGGCATAGTACAGGCTTGCATCAGGCTAGTTTAGTTTGTGTTCCCAGCTTCAGCCCATCAGTCTATTGCATGTGGGCCATGTGGCTGCGGAGGGAACACAGGCTGGTGCAAAGCCAAAGGAACCAGAGAGCCAAGAGCCACAAGCCAAGAGAGTCAAAAGAGCACACTCCTTTGGGGGATTATGTATCCCAAAATTTTCCCAGGCTTGCATTGGCTCCACCTTTTCTAGCCAATGATTTCTGTTCCCAGATTTGACAAGTACCTTCTATAGGTCACCCCAACTTCACTGCACATGGGTCCACCCTCTGCTTTGTCCAGTCCCTTCCGCCAGCAATCTGCAGGGGATGGGAAGGTGGCTCCCTGGGGAGTGTGAAACTGCAGTTTCCTGGTGAAGCTTCCCAGGTGACATACCTATAATGCCTGGCCTCCCTTTTGCTCCTTTTCTGTTATTAGTAACTGGCTAATTACAACAGTATCAAAATCAGAATATATAAAGCTACAAAGATAATTACACCCTTAAGTTTGCAGTCAAACGGGAAAGACAGTCCTGAATATAGCAATAAAACAAGAGTGTCGAATGCTACAGGAGAGGAAGGCAAGAAAGGAAACGCTGAGCAGTCAAAGGGACAGAAAAGGCCCTTGCTCCCCTGATCTGTGAACGAGATGGTTGATGGGAGCTGTTCGCACACCGCTGCCTGAGATAGGCAGGCTGGAGAGAGCATGCAATGGGGAGGAGACAGAAGGCCAACACGTCCAGCTCTGTACCTATACCATCTTGCAATAGCCCTCTACCCCTAGCCTGTGCTGAAGGAATGGGATTAGACAGCCCAGTTTGTAGCCCATGTTCTCACACACCAAACCACAGTGGACTACTGAAGGGCAGGGGTTAGACAGTCACATTTGTAACACGATTTCATACAACTTAAGAGGGAGGAACAATTCTTCGGCCAGACTGAGCTGGTTAGGTTCTTTCTCATAAATTTGAACTATGAAATTCTGAGACCATTACATACACGTAAATGAAAAGATCATTTACAACTGGCCCAGCGTTGGTGACGCCAGCCAAGGGCTAAAGGAAACAATAAGCAAGAAAGCTGACTTTGTAGAGCAAAGCAAAGGGATGAAATGTTTGCAGAACCAAGCAACTGAGACCCTGTGAGAGGAGTGGCTTGGGTTTCTAGCTTTTCAGTCCCATTTTCCAGGTGGCACAACTATGCTTCATTTCCTGGTCCTTGGATGCCAGGGATTTTTGCCTGATATACCCATACAGTAAATCTTCCTTAAACAGGCTTGAGTCAGTTTCTGTTCCTTGCAGTTAGCCTGACTCAGACATCTAAGTTTTGATCCTCAGTGACTGAGGGTTGTGATGCCAAGAACATTCATGAACGAGAAGGCTTTGTGCATGTACTGAATTTGATTGGTGGTGAGATACCATGCGGAACTATCTAGCAGGAGTTGGAAATGGGGCCTGAAACCAGGAGAGGTTAAAACTAGAGACAGATTTGCAGCATAAGACTATTTTGATAGAGTTGATTAATGCAGCCCTGGGAGATGGTACAGAAGAAAAAAGATGAGGGGGAAATGCATTTAAAGAATGAGCCAAAGACAGAAAAGGAGATGGAAAGTGATAACAGGAAAAAACAGGGTGGTACAAGTTTCACGAAGACAAAAGTGGCTTTGTACTGGTCACATGGTACAGAGAAGTTAAATAGGATGCCAGTGAAAGACAACACTGTGTTGGGTAATTGGGAGTAGAAGCCAGGTGCATGTGGTTTGAGTAGGAGATAAGACATAATGAATACTATTTAGTTTGAAAAGCAGGGCGCGTGGTGCAAACAAGATCATTATCAAATATCTAAAAATGTATAAATCACTTTCTTGTTTTGCTTTCAAATTTAAAACACTAAAATGAGCATAATATAATTTGCAGCACTAATATGAGGCTGTATATGAGCTGGATCTTAAAGCATTGCCAAGAGGAAAATGGAAACTTAAAACACATACATGGCTGCAGCTTTACTCATTACAATTCACAGGTGCAGAGGAAGTGGAGTTTTCCTACAGAACTTATATGTCTTTCCTCTTGAGCTCCCACCAGTGGGAAATCTGGAAAAAATTAACTTTTAGTCCTAATCACATTAAAACCTAGCCTTATATAAAGGGGATATAATTTATAATATCTTGGAGTAATACTTAAACTCTTACAATATTGCTTATCTCTGCCCTTTGTCTTTTCTCTCTAAAATGGTGTCCAGATAAGGGGAGGAGGGGGTTTTCATGACAGTGTCATCAAGAAGGTCAGTGTCTTCAACTCTTCCATTCTCCTGGCATCTTAATGGCCTTTGGTACACTAGGCAACAGCTTGTAAAGTATGTGATCAGGTTTTTCCTAGCCTGGTCAGAGCCCCAGTAGTTCTTGCACTGGCCTCACCTTGGTTCTCTTAGGTGTGGAGAACTCGAGACTTCCACTCTGTCTCAAGCTGTCCAGTGTGGGTCCCGTTGCAGATCTAGCACATACCCTCATTGCAGGCTCAAGGTAAACCTACTTGTTTCCCAATCAGCTATCTTCTGAGTCTCCTCTTGGGAGAATGTGGAAACTTGGGGGACTCCTTCATAGCACACAGGAACAGAAAGAGGCCTGGAAAAGCAAACTGCATTAGCACTAAGGTCTACTTTGATGACTGTGCCCTAGCCTGAGAGGCTGTCTTTCCAGAATGCTGTAGACTCCTCTACTACCCAGCATATTATATTTCAAAGCAACAAAAGATGGACTACTGCTACATTGAACAGCATAAGTGAATCACACTAATATAACGTAAATCAGATACAAAACATACATACTATTTGATTCCATTTATATGAATTTGACAACAGGCAAAACTACTCTGTTAGAAGTCAGGATAGTGGTTGTCTATTGGAAGAGGGTTGAAGGCATATCGGAAGCTTGTGGCATTTCCCATCTTTATCTGTGTCATAGTTAACATTGATAATTCATGTTACTTTGATAATTCATCTAGCTGTTCACTTAAGATTTTTGTACTTTTCTATATGATTGCTATACATCCATTTAAAAGTGTGCGTGTGTGTGTGTGTGTGTGTGTGT